GGAGCAGCCAATCAGCTTCCAGCTTTCATTTTCAAAGCTTAACTGAACAGACCGAACAGAGAAGCCGATTGGTTGCCGTGCACAGCCGGCTCCGGATTCTGATGAATTCCCCTCGTTGTAGAATATATATAAAGCAGAGCGAGATCGGCACTGAGGTGGATGACCCGGCTGTGCGCACTCCGGGGCTGGAGACAAGCTGATAATATCCAGCACGGCATCCCCTGCGATTTATCAGACTATTCCTGACCAGCACGCTGGAAAATCTCTGTACCTGAATCTTTAGAGATTCACTTTAAAGCCCAACTTGGGGTAAGTTCAAAATGCATTCCCCCCCCCCAGCGGTTTTCTGGAGGTTATCAGAGAGAAGGACCCCAAATCTGCCGCCTGGTTGGTTCGGGTTGTGGCCCCTGAAGACAGACATGGTCACGTCACCGCCCCTCTTGCTGATGTCATCGTGTGCAATGCAGGACCAGCGGCCAGCGCCGGTTGCGCGTGCGGATGGAGCGTGCGCGGAATGAAATCGGCGTCGCCATGACAACCATCAGGACTTCCATTCAGCAAACGTGCGCCAACCGCGAGAGGAAATCATCCAATGAGGAATCCGAAATGATACAAATGTGTCCAATCGGATCGCTGGACGGACCGGACCGCGTCCTCCGGGATCATCGGATCAGAAACTCTCTGTATTTATTATCGGTGATCCGATAGATCCAGAGAACTGAGAACCCTCATCCCGTGCGCAGTGCGACCGCACGCCGCCGCGCTCTCCGCCGCAGGTCACGTTCCGGCCGCTCGGTGTATATAATAATCCGGCCACTCTGTGTATATAATAATCCGGCCACTCGGTGTATATAATAATCTGGCCACTCGGTGTATATATACACAAGAAAATCTTCATTGCATAAGTATTCCCACCCTTGCTGAGAAACCCATTAATATGCTCCAGGGCATTCAGTCGCCTTCAGGTTTATTGAAAGTTGTCCATCTTTTTGAACTTATTTTCCATGTAATATCACATTACGGCCACTAGATGGCGCCAAGGAGCATTATGGAATAAATTACTTATTTCCTATGTTCCTTTAGCGCCATCAGGTGGCCATAATGTGATATTACATGAAAAACAGATTAAAAAATGAATTACGTTTAAGAAAATAAGAACATTTGTTATGACAAATATTTGTAAGAAGCACTTCGGGATTTAAAAAAAAAAAAAAATGTACCCTTGCAGTAGGCCCACCCCCAGTAGGGCTACGTGTTCCTTTTGTCTAGGAGAGTCAAATAAAGCCGCCATACTCACCTGATCCTCAGTCTCATGTCAGTCAGAGCCCATCCCTCTTCCCCTGCTCTCCGAGGAAAAAAAAAAAAGGGGCTATTTAAATGTTGCAGCGCGGGGGTATCGCCCACTGCAAGGGTAAGTTCTTAACGTTCCTGGAGTCATTCTTTAATGTTAGAAAGCCCATCACACTGAGAGCTTAGTCTACCCCAACTGTGAAGCGTGGTGGTGGTGGCCTTGTGTTGTGAAGAAGCTTTCTCAATGGCAGGGACGAGGAAACCGGTCAGGATTGAAGAGGAGATGCATAGCTTCTGGCCCGGGTCCCGCCCACCTCGGGTTGCTCCAGGGTACAATGCAGGGGCAGTAGTGGGAGGACAGAGGCTGTGGGGTATAATACAGGGGGCAGTAGTGGGAGGACAGAGGCTGTGGGGTACAATACAGGGGCAGTAGGGGGAGGACAGAGGCTGTGGGGTACAATGCAGGCAGTAGTGGGAGGACAGAGGCTGTGGGGTACAATGCAGGGGCAGTAATGGGAGGACAGAGGCTGTGGGGTACAATGCAGGGGGCAGTAGTGGGAGGACAGAGGCTGTGGGGTACAATGCAGGGGCAGTTAGACGTGCAGTGTGGCATGTTGGGGTAATCAGACATCGTGCAGTGGGCTGTTACTTTGTATCTTCTGCAGTGACAGGAAACATTGTTTCTCCTCCAACAAGAACTCTCTCTCTGTTCTGTATCAGAAAAGTGAAAACCTTGTTTCTTCCTTCGTTCCGCCCCAGTGCTGATCTCCTGCAGCCTCTCTGCAGCCACTTCCTGTCCTCATGCACTCCAGCCATGACAATGACGGATCAGGTCTGTGTAATGTGGGCTGCAATGACCCCTCGTCTCCATCAGAAGCCCACGTGACAACACGGGAGCACAAATGAGAGACAGGGATAGAGCGTTGTCACCCTATAACAGGAAGTTCCTGAACATGGATCCCCCGGGATTATTTTAATGCCTCATGGAGCTATGTAAATGTATTAAAATAATAAGACTGTGGGGGGTATTAGAGTGTAAGCTCCTCTGTACAGTTTACAGAAACGTGTTCCCCCGGACACTCCGCCTCCCTCCCCCGGACACTCCGCCTCCCTCCCCCGGACACTCCTTGTGGGGGGTATTAGAGTGTAAGCTCCTCTGTACAGTTTACAGAAACGTGTTCCCCCGGACACTCCGCCCCCCTCCCCCGGACCCTCCGCCTCCCTCCCCCGGACACTCCGCCTCCCTCCCCCGGAGTCTCACATTCATTCTGTTCCAGAAATAATCAAAAGACGGGTTTATTTTTGGACATTTTGGATAAAACACGGAGAGGAAAGTTCGGAGCGAGGAGGAGGATGATGAGGATGATGAGGATGATGAGGAATGATCCGCCGGGGACTCTACACTCTACGAAGCACACGGCGGAGCCCAGCGCGGCCCGAATCATGATGGTTGATGACTGGTGGGTGGAGTCAGATGAGAAGAGAATTGTGGGCGGGGCTTCCTCTATACCGATGACTTCTTCTGAGACAGATTGATCTTGTCCCCGAGGCTCAGCGCCATCCCCTGCGGGGAACACAAAACCTGTTA